TTACTTCTACTAGAAAAGGAACTTAAATCTTTTAATTTCTTTTAGTGTAAAATTTCTCAACACATTTGCTTTTCATTATTGATTTGCATTACATCTTTTATTACTGAATATGTCTAATTTAGAATCTTCTTGTTCTGCATCAGATTTTTTTATTCGACTTATCCTGCTTTAATTGGTATCGTGATTAGCTGCCATATACACCTTCTACCGTAAATTTACTATTATACCCCCAAGAAGAAAATCTAGGTTACTACATCCTGCCTTTAAAAAAAATCTCTCTGAGAAAAAAATCCTTTTCTGGGAAAAATGCCAGAATCAGAAAAGAAAAATAAAACAAATCCCAAAGAGTCACACGTATTCACTATATTCATCGTTTCCCTCCACTGGGACTCTGACCTGCTTACCAACAGCCATAAGATCCATCAAAAGACGCAACCCTCATCATATAGAGACTGGATGACTACTATCTTGCTAGATCTCTGCCTTCCCATCCGCTGAGACAACCAATGATCCTGAAGACCGACTCTCACTAGTGACTGGAGACTGGTGCTTGAATGCTCCCACATGTTGAATCAACCAGGCATTATCATTCTGTTTTGACCAATACACACTTTTTGACCAATCTAGTTTGACAATTCCAGTTCAACTCCCTCCAGACAACTTGTTAACCAATTCAGAATGGTTCTTTAGGGATTCAGACTGATCTTAAGGTTTTCCACATATTCTACCCATTTTTAAGGTCAGTTTGGTTTAATCTATACCTTACAATCATGTTCAAAGCAGCATGTAATCCAACAAAGTACGGGTAATTTACCTCATACATATGAGGTATTGTATGAAACTTTTGGTCTTTATTAGAAACTTAGGCTTTTCAGTTAGATTTTGATTTTAAGTTAGAGAAATTTCTTATTTCCTCTTTAATTATTTTGATTTTTTTCTTTATTAGTTATAACTAATACCGAATTGAAGCTAAGCACCACAGTAATTGATTCATGAAGAGAGGGGCACTATGCTAAGAGGAGAGTCTGTAGAGCCCAGGAAATGAGAGGAAAGTGATCTTCCCAACCAATTGTCTGTGTAAGTAAAACACGAACCATCCCTACCGTCGATTTAAGATGAAAAAAGATACATATACCTAAGCAATGAATTCCCGAGGACTTACGTGAACCATGATCAACTGGGCTTTGGTATCGTAACCATTTTGGTACAGCCCAAACTTGCTACTCGACACCTTCAGTCATACAAAAGAAGGTTCCAGAGAAAAAGCGCCATACAGCTTAGCAATTAGAAGTTTTCTTTTACTTTTTGAAACTAAAGTCTCACCAATTCCTGCATCCTTTCTCAAGTGACAGCACACCTTCCATCTAAGCAAGTGATCCCGAGAAGTACGATAAAAAAAGGCGATCCCTAGAAGTATCTTTGATTTCTATACAGAGAAAACCCTACATTAATGGCACGCTGATTGCTCGCCCTGAAAAGAATTGTTCTTGCATTTTGCTTATGTCTCTTTTTCATATAACGATTGGCAATTGCAGGTGAAAATGGCTGAACAACCAAGACTTCATTTTGTTACTTTGTTTTACATAAGGGGCTTTATTTATGATATCCACTTCGCTTAAAATCTGACTCTCAACTTAGTCAGAATAGAAGACAGAATGTATCTTTAGACCTGTCTTAGACAAACTGTGTTCTACTGAACCCCTAATGGTTCCTCTTCCCATCCCCAAAAAAGAACCTGGAAAAATAA